GAAATATGCCATCTTCTTACTGATGCTTCTGCTACTTTAGGGCCTGGGATATACATCAAATTATTTGAAAAAAAAAAGTGGAACCATTCATTACCCTTGCTGATTTAAATATTTAACGATTCAAGAGGAAAGAAATGTTTTTCATGTTATCCCCAAAGGGTATTAGAAGTAAAAATTCCAAGAAATTCACTCTTATGCTATTTCTAGAAGAGAAAATTATCTTGTGTTTGCAATTTGTGTGTTTTGTGTGTGTACATTCTTGCTAATAAGCCAGTTAATGTGTTAACCACGAATGTGTATTCTACTTGTGTCTATGATTAAAGAGCAATGAAGCTTTGAAACTTTTAATCACGATCCTACATTCTCCCCCAAATGTATTTAAACTTATATCAAAACCCTAAAATATTCATAGCAATCTTCTCCCCAAGGCCTTTTATTATTCAAACCCCCTTCCAATAGAAAAAAACAAAACAAAACACCCTAGTAGTGTATATTACAATAGTGATAATTTTAAGGGATTCTATGTTAAAGTGTCTTGGAACTTGACCTCATTAAAGAAAACCAACTTATACTAGCAGATGATTTCTACTTTGTTCTTCATTTTTACTGTCATTCTGGGTAACTTACATAGCTAAAGCTGCTCAAATTATGCTACCCAAGTGACTATTTCAGGCCACTGGGGTAATTCCAGGCCCTAATTTCCTCACATTAGACCTCACTTCCTGCATAGTCAGAAATACAACCTCTAGCAAACTACCAATACATTTAGTATTAGCAATTGGCTGACATGAGCAAGTTTAAGCTTGTTGTTGGCATCACTTGAATAAGTTCCCACTGAGCTGATAACATTGCCAGTCAGTACTATAACTATTAAATAAGAAATGCTTTAGCAATCAAAAGACACTTCGGGCGGTTCACAGAATAATGCCAGCTAGGTAGTCATGGATGTACTATATTGGGAAAAAATGCCCTGTTTTCCCCTAAAATAAGACACAGCCAGAAAATAAGCCCTAACGTGATTTTTCAGGATGCTTGTAATATAAGCCCTATCCCCCAAATAAGTCCCAGTTAAGATCGTTAGCCAGACGGATGCATTTAGCAAATCATATTTTCCAGAAAATAAGACTAAACAAAAAATAAGCCCCATGTTTTGGAGCAAAAATTAATATAAGAGCCTTATTTTTCCAGGAACCATGGGTATAAAAAAAACAAAAACACAGTAGTTGGAGCACAATGATGGAAATTTGCTTAATGGGATGCTAATGATGGCTTATTTTATGATGAAATAAGAGTATGTGTCATAGATGATTGTAAATTCCCATTCAGTAGTCCTCAGCTCACAAGACTACATTTAGTGCCCATTTGAAGTTACAACGGCACTGGAAAAAAGTGACTTATGACCATTTTTCACGCTTACAACCATTGCTGCATTTCCATATTCATGTCATCAAAATTTCGATGCTTGGCAATTGACTCCCATTTATGATGGTTGCAGTGTTCCGGGGTCATGCAATCAGCTTTTGTGACCTTCTTACAAGCAGTGGGGAAGCTAGATTCACTTTACAACCACAACTGCAGTGATTCACTTAACAACGGTGACACAAAAGGACGTAAAATGGAGCAAAATTCACTTAACAAATGTTTCACTAAGCAACAGAAACTCAATGCATGAGTTTATTAAATGAAAGAAAAAGGCCATAAAATTGAGTCCGTTTATGTGATGACTCGTTTAAGAAACACATTGCTTAGTGCCCAAAATTCTAGTCTCAAAATTATGGTGGTTTCTGGAGTTGATGATTAAAAGGGTTGAATATGGGACAGAGAGGAACTATGTAACATAATCTAAGAAAGGGAGGAGAGATAATAAGTTGGTTCATAATTGCTGTTAAGAAGATCAGACATCGCTTCTTTAATTATTGTTTCTTTTCTTCTTTCTTTATTTGTACTCAGTCTCACACTTTTTCTTTTATCTTTTTTTTTCTCTTTCTTAACTCTCCTTTTTATATAACTTCTTATGTTTATCTTTTATTCATGGAAAAAAAAACTTCAGTAAAGATTATACATAAAAAGAAAATATATATATAAAAAAAAAAGATTGAAACTTAGTAACTTTTTAAGCCTTCAGATCTGTCTTAGCGCCGCTGCTGAAAACTTTGTTTTTTCAGGTCTATTTAACTTATTTAACTTAAGTATGGTAAAATCCAAGTGTTGGTCACAATGAATGGAAAAGTCCTGGAGGCCAGCAAATAAATATTGAGGTGGGGTCAAGAGATAGATGGCCATTCATCATGGTTGACTTGTAGTGACTTCTTCCTTGGAAACTCAAGTTAAAATCCTTCCTTGATCCCATAGTCTACAGCTCGGTTGATTTTGAGCTACTCATTCACTCACCATCATTCACCTATTATGGACAATGTTGTGAGGATAATATCTTGAACTCTTAGAGAAAAGTCAGGAAAAACACTGGACTTAGATAATATGGACATGGACAAAGGCTCATGTTTTTATTCTGTTCTACAACAAAAATAAGTAGAATAGAATAGAATAACAGAATAACAATAGAATAACAGTATTTGCTCATCTATAATATTAGGATTTTACGATGCTCAAGTACAATGGGTTTGGTTCCAAAATGTACTTTGGAGCATGAGGGCTATGAACCCAACACTAGTCTACAACTCTTTAACATGACCATGTCTTTTTCTAGGATCATACAAATGACAACCACAGTGGTGCAGAGCCTAAATCTTCCTGTAAAATCATGAGGCCCATAGTCTTAAATTGCTGAACCAGAAACCTAGATGTGTAGAGTAGAGTAGAAACAGAAATAATAGAAATAGAAATAAAAATAATAGAATGGAATAGAATAGAAGGGACCTTGGAGATCTTCTTGAATCCCATGCTCAAGCAGGAGAATCTATACTATTTCAGATAAGTGGCTGTTTAGTTTCTTCTTAAAAATCTCCAGTGACGGAGTGCCCACAATTTCTCAAGGCAAGCCGTTCCACTGGTTAATTGTTAATTGTCTCACTGTTAGAAAGTTTCTCCCTAATTCCAGGTTGCTTCTCTCCTTGATTAGTTTCCATCCATTGATTCTTGTCTTGCCTTCTGCTGCTTTGGATAATAACTTGAGCTTTATGGCAGCCCCTGGAATATTGCTATCATGTCACTCCTAATTCTTCTTTTCTTTAGACTAGACAAACCCAATTCCTGCACAAAGTCCTACAATTATTCAGTGTTCTCTCAAGCCTGAATTATATTGGTTAATTTTCAAAAACTTTAGCTTATTTCTCAGCTGTCTGAAAATCCTTCCCCCCCCCTTACCCCCAACATATTGTACCTGGCATGAAAGAAGGAGCAAATCTCAGGATAGGAGATGAAAGTTTTTTTATCCAAACTTGTGCTGCATATTTCAACATTCTTAAATCAATATACTACCATTTCTTTGAAGTGTGCAATGTGAAAAGATCCATACAAAAAAGCATATATTAGGGGAAGGTGTGGATATTAGTAAAAAATGACATGCAAAATTACATATCAGGGGAAACACAAACACCCACTCATCCATTCAGAGACACACAAACATCACCAAGGTGTATTTAGTTAGTGAAACGGTTCTCATCCTGTTGTTTCTAGATGGAAGACAATATTGTTGGGGCCCATTTTAATTTTGTTGCAGAATTGCTATTCCAGAAAGGTAAGCAGGCAATGAATAAGACGGTAACAAAACTTGGTGAAGGAACAGGGAAGAGAAGTAGATTATGCACCCGAAGAAAAAAAGATGCATTACACAGCAGATACTAAAGATATGGTATTTGGTGAATATTCATAGCAAACAATCCCCACTTCTCATGTTAGTGTCAACCAGGTGTTGATGAATTTGATTCCAATGCTGCTTATTTCACTGTGCAAAAAGGTAATATTTCATACCACTGAGTGTTTACTTCTTTTCCCTCTGCACAACACTTTTTGCATTCCAATTATATCTGATGGCAACTAATCTACACTAATAAAATAAGCTGAGGTTTGAATCTCTCCCCCCCAAATGCAGAAACTAGAAAGGGCCCCCCTCTTTGCAATTTATGCTGCAAATTAGCTCTGTTAATTCAGTTCTTTTTTAGTACTCTTATGTCAATCATTCAAGAACAATTCATTTATTTATTTAGTTCGCTATGAAACTATGTGGTCAGGCTTAGTTTCGGGGAAGAAAATAAGGGGGAAAAATTCTGCTTCTGCCTACCAGCATCCATTGGTATTCATCTGGCTAGTCCTGTCAGTGTGTGAGAGAGTTGAGGGCTGTTTGGATACTGAAACAGTATTTGCTGTGTGAGGGAAAAAGGAGACAGCAAGGAACCTGGGTATGGCTTAGCTCAACTGTTGCTTGGTGCTGTGAAACTAAAACTGAAACTCCTCTCCTCTGCTTGTGTTTTGCATTTGGAACAGATTTCTTTTCAGGTGGGGAGGGGAGTAGAACTCCTCAGCATCAGAGCATGTTAATAATAATATATGAAATATTAATGCTCTGATGGTCATTTCGAAAAATCCTCTCTTAGTGATCCCCTAGAAGCCAAAAGGAACATACATGCCAAATTTCAAGTTTGCAGGCTTTATGGTTTTGGAGATTTTGTGATGATGTGTGAGTGGTATTTCACCTTTATATATATATAGATTTACTTGCTTGCTTGCTGAATTTGTATGCTGGTCCAGTCCAGCTACTTGGAGTAGCTAAAATATTTCTACAGCTTTCTTGTCTAAAGCAGGCATCAGGAGGTTTTAAGGTGTCCTCTCAAATGTTTGTATAATGGGCCAATAATCGTTATTTAAAAATAACCCAAGCAGTTCAGAAAAAACAAAAAGCAGTTTGGGAAAACAAAGATATATAATAATTGTTAGCTACCATAAGCCAGCCTCTTTTGCTCTTTTTCAAGAATGCAACACGCCAGAGAAAGTGGTCCTTTTCCTTGATGTCTAACCTTCTCCTTCTCTCTCTTTTTTTGAAGCTATTGAGGTGAACCTCCAAAAAGCTCTCACGGAAGCTTCCGAAACCTGCACGCAGGAATGCCTCATCCTTGGCCATTCTGACAATTGCTGGATGCCTCCTTCATTGACACAATACCAGCAATCCAATCCACCTTTGCCAGCCTTTGGCTTCCAGCAGGGGTGGGTGCGAGGAGCCATCTCGGAAGGAAGACACACCCTTGGACGGGCCGGTTCCAAGGAGGATACAGAGAAAGGCCAAGGGGGACCTAAGCCTCAGTTCTACAATGCCTGTGACAGACTCTGCACCAGTGACGACCCAGTCAAACTGATCCCCCTGGCAAACTTCATACCTCCTGCCCAGGCTGGAAGCGGCATCCCTTTGATCCATGAGCACCAGCTATAAAAGGCATATCTTGACCAAGCAAGGCTATTTTGGGCTTTAAACGTGTGAGTGTACATAGTCACAGCTTAAAACGATTTTTATTTGTATGCAAAGCTCCTTAGGTTCGTGGCTATTGATGTATATAGAATTCCGAATCCAAGCTGAAAAGCTGAGTTCTTAACAAACAAGAGTTAAAGGAAAACTCAGCTTCCTTACTCAGAAACAATTATGCAAACAAACATCACAAAATGAAAAAAAAAAAAAAAACAATCCACAAAGGAATGTTGACAGGAGAAACAAAAGTGTGTGATTTCCTCCCCCCAAAGAATTGTCACAATCAGATGTTAAGAGTTGGTCTTCTAGTGTAGAAATGGAACCATGTTTGGGAGCGAGGTCTACTGCATGATGATGGAAGAGAAAAAAATGTCAGAATGCCTTTTTGTTTTCAAATCATCCGGTCATCTTGTACATGATACAAGCAAACTATTTATTAGCATATATTATGATGTAAACTTGTAGTTCTGCACAAGAATATCTGAACAGGAAAGTCCCCTGATCTCATTAAGCTGGCTAGAGTTCTGATGTGATAGCCTTGTGAAAATGGAGCCAAAATATCAAGATTTCTTTTGCAGGTCTCAATGTTACCTGTTTCCATGATATCTAATATGGTAAAGGGTGTCCTCAAATAAATAGATAATAAACTGTTCTATAGATCTGGATGCATGGAATCATAGTAATTAGCTGAAGGTCAAAGGAGACCATTGATGAGCTGAGCTGACATTTCTTAAGCAATCTTTCTTTTAAAAAAAGATAATAACACATTCAGAATTTTATTTATGAACCTTTTAGAAAAAGCGCACTTGGAGGAGGATTCTTTTGCACAAACTCTACACTGAGACTTCACTTTCCCCCCCACAATGCCCTAATCTAGATGCCTCCTGTGGTCCATGAGCCCCCAGAATTTTGAGACACCAAATGTAGAAGTACAAAAATGTTATTTTAGTTTAGTTTAGTTTATTGTCATTGCACCTCGTACGACAAAATCAAACACCATCTTCAGTGCACATCATGACCATGAAAATAAACACAAATGTTTTTTTCTTGGCCCCACTCATTTCTTTTTGACTACAATTTCTGGTAAACCCCTAGGAAGGTCAGCAGATATTCTATGCCAGTCTGGGTGGGAAAAAAAAACCTTGATAAAATTTTCCACTTAATTTCTGAACCCACAGACAGGATAAAGAATATCAAGGAGCAATGCATGCATTACTTTTTACATGCATTCTCTCAGGTCTTCTGGATGGCTTTGGATTTTTGCTTAGCTTGGTGTTTTCTGATATTGGACACTGCAAATACCTCTAAAGAGGGGAAAGGAACCTTAACATAGTAAAAAGCTATATTGTGTCTCTGTCTTCTCCAACCATGGAGAATCAACAGATAATGTTGTATAGTGTTCCTCTGGGAAAACTATCGCTTAGAAACTAATGATGAGCCAAAAGGAGGAAGTTGAAGTTCTCCCCACCCCGGGCATATTCTTAGACAGGGGATTCCAGGGACATAGACATTATCCAAAGCAGAGGGGAGGTATTCATTTCCCAAACAAATGTTTTCTGAGAAGTTTGGAGTCATAAAGGAATAACCAGATCTGTGGTTACTAGGAAAAGGTGAGGACGGGTGAAGCTATCAAACAGACTAGCTATGACTACGAACTACAATTCTCAAATAACTTTAAATAAAGTTTTGATTTTGGATTGGTTACGTGATATTGCAACGTGGGTACGGTCATGCCATGTCATGGAGAGGAAAAACAAAACCCTGAAATAGTTAGAGAAGCATCAGTCAGAGCAACTGAAGACAAAACCCATAATTTTAACATGAATGTTTTGCAATTAAAAGAAGAAAGGTGCAACATAGCAAAGCAGAGGAAAAATTTGTCCCTTTGGGCAGTCCAAGCATCATAGTATAGTCCAATACTGTCCACCTTTCTATCAATCTTAGAATATTGCTCATATCACATTGTATCCTTTGTTTCGGAGAAATACTCTACAAAATAAAATATTTTATAAAAAAAAATTAAAAATAGGGTTTTCTGCCTAAGCAGGGTGTTGGACTCCCAGGTCCCTTCCAACTCTGCTATTCTATTCTATTCTATTCTATTCTATTCTATTCTATTCTATTCT